TTAATCTAACTTAATTAGCATGGCGTGTGAGCTGTTGATGTCTCTAGCTGCCTCACAGTAAGCCAATCAAAATGAGTATTCATGCTGTGTTACATTTGAGGTATAAGAAAAATTTGCCTCAAAAGTTATAGTCCGCTATAAGAGTCTACATCCTGGAACAGGAAAATCAACTATGGCCTCAACCTTTGCTTTGACAGGAAGTGAGAAGCTGTGTGTTTGGGAGAAACACATCCAAATCCAATGCTTCTAGCCAAAATATCAGCCCATAATCCATAATAATGCTTCCCCCAGTGAAAAAGTCCATCCCCTGTTGTGCTTTCACATCAAACTCCATCAAACATATTTGTTTAGAACTGTTTTTGCTTGTAAATGGTGCTTGATCTATCTTAATGATCAATTTGTTTACAAATATGCAGCTTTTCACTTCACAAGATGTTAACAGATGGACTGGAGTGGTGTGGATTACTGGTGGATTATTGTGATGTTTTTATCAACTGTTTGAACATTCTGATGGCACCCATTTATTGTAGAGCACAGTACAGGTATCTAACTCAGTTCCTGGAGGGCCGCAGGCTGCAGCCCTATGGAGTTTAGTTCCAGCCCTGCTCCAACATATATACAGTATATCATGTAGTTTTCAAATAAGCCTAAATAACTTGATTAGCTAGATTAGGTGTGTTTAATTAAGGTTGAATCTAACTATGCAGGGCTGTGGCCCTCCAGGAACTGAGTTTGACACCCCTGCTGTAGAGGATCCATTAGTGAGCATGGATGTAATGCCTAATTACAAATCAGTTCTGATGAAGAAATAAACTCATAAACATCTTGGATGGCCAGAGGCCGGGTGAGTAAATTTTCTGCAAATTGTTATTTTCATTGAACTATTAACTCCAACTAGAGATTATTTGTTTAGATTATTATAGTTTTAAGGTCTGGTTTGGGATTAAAAAATATTTGAAATTATAAAAGTAAATATTAAAAGTATGTAATATTATATATAT